AGCGATATCTGGGCCCCTCGATGATTTTGTGTTGACCCATGTACCGGGCCCGGTCAGAACTAAATTGATGTGTTCAGTTAAGTTCTTTGTCAAACAAATCGGAAATCGAGAAACAACTGCTAGACAATAAGTAAGACATTGTTCCATGTATTTGTCCGGCTGATATCATGAGAGCAGAGGATTATATGATCACTTATCTAAAATGGCGCTTCATAGTTCACAAGAGTTTTCGAGAGCTACGATTGCCGGTTGGTTCCTGAAGTAATATAGGCAAATACAGTTATTAGACTTATCCAAGTGGGAGTCTGTTGGATAAGATGTCTAACTCCATAACTTATTTGGTATATACTTGACCCGACCCGGCATGGTCCATTTGGGTTGCACTTCACCCAAACTAGTTATGGATAATTTTATGAGAGTTGTATACTTACGATTTATTAATATATTATAAGTTATAATATATTAATATAAAGTCATGTTACTTAATTAGTTTTAATCTTGAATTAATTATGAATTAATTTAGTGATTAAAAGGAAGACTAATTAAATCATGGGCTATTATATTTATATGGTGTGGGCTAACACTCATTTGGGAATGGGCTAAGCTTATATGGAAGTCCATGGATGATCCATGGAGCTTTTACCCATGGATCCTTGGAAGAGGAAAAGACATGGGTTATTAGGGTTTCACCCTAACCATGTACACTATATAAACAAGCTTATGTTGCATGAAAAACACCCTAAGGTGTGTGTAAGTGTGTTGGCCAAAATCAAGAGTTAGTATACTCTCTCATACATTTTCCAAGTTTGTGGTGATTTGTGATTTCCATTTGAGGCATTCACATTATTGGTGCTTGGCTCTCAAACTCCAAGGAATCAACAATCAACAAAATGTATGTAATTCATCTAGTTCTTTTATGGTTAAAAGTACCCCATGCCATGCTAGATAGGTTATAAACCTTGGAAAATAATATTTTGCATGTATCTTAGACAAACATAGATCCAAGGTTTAATAGGGTTGCATGTACACTTAGGAAGTGTTAGAATGCTCAAAACCCAACACTACTTTCCTCAGAAATCTCGTGACGGTCCAGCTCAGCTCGTCGAATTGACCCCCAACTCGTCGAGCTATCGCCTGATTCAGTTCTTCGGGACAACCCTAACCAAACTCGTCGAGTCGGCTCATCGACTCGGCGAGTTCATTCAGACGATTTAAGGCAGATCCATCACCCCAAACACTAGATCTACCCTCCTGAGGGTCGATTGTCACGTAAAGCTGCAAGCTTTACGTTTAAACATGGCATATAAATCTCTTAATGCCAATATAACTCTAACAAGGATGATTAACCACACTAACTCTTCTATGGTTAACTAAAGCTATAATCTTTGGACTCTCTGGACCTCTCAAGGTCCAGATCTGAAGTCTAGGCCTCATGAGAGACCTTATGCAAACAAAGTCCCAACAATGGAAGAAGAAACCCTAATCTCCATATCTACAAGATCTAAGCTAAATAACAAGAAAGGTGCAAGCTTTTACCTCTTACTCATGCCCTTGCACGAAGTTACACCAGATCCACTGATTCTCTAGCTCCCTTGATGGGTGATCTCCTCTTCATCCTCAAGAGATGCACTAGTTTACTCCAAGTTTTAGCTTCTAAGACTCTCATGGCTCTCCATACACGTTTAGGGTTTGCTCTCAAGGAAGGGTAGCCGCAAATGAGGCTATAAGTTCCTTTAAATAAGTCTCAAACCCGGGAAAATTAGGGTTTCTCTAATCAGCGCCTACTCGGCGAGTCCCTCTCCTCGGACTCGTCGAGTCCACTCATTAAATCCACGGGAGAAACCCGACTCGACTCGGCGAGTTAGACCCTCAACTCGTCGAGTCCCTCCTTTAATCACAAGATTAACCTACACCATAATACTTCTGAAAATCTGGATGTTACAGCTTTGATGCCATTTTGAGTTCGTGGTGATAATATATTAATGCTCCAAACCAATAATATGTAATTCACCAAAATCAAATGGGATTGTTTTCATGAATTATCATCGGCAAATAGAGCATATATGTTCATTTGAAAGCTCCCGATATGTTAATCTTTGGAAAATAGTAGGTGGAAAGTGAACCATGGAAGCTTCAGCTTCAGATTCGTTCGTTAGTGGAGAGGAGGCGATAGAAAGGGAACTTTGTCACCAGAAAGACCGATGAAGGTATATAGAACCTTTTCAATGGGGTTGTAGAGGTCCGATGACACTCTGATCAATGTAGCATCTTTTTTGACAAAGTTGGTCAAGTCCATTGAAGGTATAGACAACTGCGACCTTATTTACATTAGATAAAAAAAGGAGAAGAATGTCGATGATATAAAAAGGATATGTATGTTTCTTGTGTGTACATGTGTGTTTGTGTGTGTGAAAGGGGTATCACGGATGGGGTGGGAGGGGTAGGGTGACTTTTTATTTTTTAATTATAAAAATTTAAAATTTTAAAAAAACAAATTATAAGGATATTGTAGTCTTTTTATGTTTGTCAAATCTAATAATTGCGTTTGATGTTATTACCCTTGACGAAAATTGATTGATGAGAATTGTCATCACATCTTCACCAAAAATGGAGTACTCATCGGAATCGAACTCAACTAAAATAAATAAAGCTAACAAATATTATAGGGCTTAGTTTGATATATATATTTCAAGTATGGGACTTAAATGTAAATTATCTTTGGAAATTGATTGTTAACATCCGAGTCCTTTTCATTTGCAAGAACAAAGACATTCCTGCATACCAAAAGGGCTCGAGAAGCGTTTTCCGATCCTTACTCTAAACACATCAACACAGCAATGGAGAAATTGGTGATGATGAGATCTCTCTACCGTTCGATCGCAAGGAGATCTGTAGTTTTAGTCGCCCCCACCTCCGTGAACAGCAACAACCAATGCCTCCGCCGTGGAATCTGCTACCTTCAGCACCCTTCATCTTCACTACCTCACAGTAACGTTCTTTTCCGTCGTTTTATTTGTTTCTATGTATCTATTGTTCTACCACGAGAAGAATAATTTGAATTTGTTAATTTGCATCTTATGACGACATCATATGATTTTAGGGCTAATAATGTCTATCAGGAATTCAGGATTTTTTCAATACTATTTCCGTGAAGTATCCTCTCTACGTTTTAGTAGTTTGATTTCGAAACAATCGCGTAGGAAGCATGATTCGTTAGATGAAGAAAGAAAACCTATTCACACTATGCCAATTGTTCATATTTCACATCAGATTTTTTCTGGTTTTGTTCTTCAATCGAGTTTCTGACATTGAAAGGGAAAGCTGATTCTGGTATTCTCTATATATAGAAAGTCTTTCTCCATTTGCAATGGGAATTGGAAGCACACGATGCTTGACTGATGGTGGGTTGACACACTTACCAGACATTAAAGATGGTGATATCAAGGTTGCCTTCAAGGAGCTCATGGCTGTAAACTGGGCTGAACTTCCAGACAGTGTTGTCAACAAAGCAAATCGAGCATTATCTAAGAACACTGAAGACAAGGCTAGCCAAGAAGCATTAGCCAACCTTCTACGTGCTGCAGAAGCAGTTGATGAGTTTACAGGGTTCCTTGTGACTTTGAAAATGGAAATTGATGATAGTGTTGGACTGAGTGGCGAGGTAACATTAATTTCATGGAAGCTTTATATCATTATATGTCTTTTTTTTAATGAAATTTTGTCTGATTGGTGAAATTATGTTGCAGGATGTGAAACCTTTATCGAGTGATGTTGCTAATGCTTTAACTGTAGCCTTTGAACGCTACTATGCATACTTGAACTCTTTTGGAGCAGATGAGGGGTATTTGCGGAAAAAAGTTGAGAATGAGCTGGGAATGAAACTTATTCATCTCAAAATGAGATGCAGTGGTCTTGGTGGTGATTGGGGAAGGGTATTGCATCTCTCTCTTTCTCTCTAAGAAATCATTATTGTAGTTTTTGATATGATTGAATAGGGGAAGGAATATTAGGAAATGGTTATTGAAACTATGTTATTTTGTAATTGCAGGTGACAGTTCTGGGAACATCTGGACTTTCTGGTTCATATATTGAGCACAGAGCATAAAAATCTGGTTCATAGCTCACCTTTTTATCCTTGCTATTGTTGTTTTCACAAATGCTGTTTTGGTTGGATTTTGTTATCTGCTCATCAACTAAATAATAATGGAGGAATCATTGTGTTAGAACTAGTTTTCCTTTTTTTTTTGTTGAACTTGTAGTTTAGTTATTTTGTGAAAGAAAAATAACAGCACTCGTAGGTAGTGTTTGGTATAATGCAATCGTGGAAAGAATGGAATGGTTAATTCCATTAGAATGAAAATCGATTGTTTTGTATGATGAAATGGAATGGTTGAAGGAATGTGTGTCATTTATTTTGCCCTTCCAATTCCATTCCCATGCTCGTGGTTATTTTTCTCATAATTTTTTTTTTCCTTAAACGTCATTTATTCATACAAATTGTTGTATAAGATACATGGTTTTGTTATTAAAGTTTAGCATAAACTTGTATGATACTCACAAATGTATTACAAGTTTATTTTTTTTCATGTCGAATTAAATCATATTTTATTTAGTTTGTTCATAATTTATTTCCCAATCCATTGCGATGTCTTCTACTATTGACAAGTCTGATCCAAGAGAATTTTTTAGGGCGCGTTCACTGGTGATCGCTTGGTATGAAACACTCCAAAATAGAGTTGACACATGATTGAATCAAACAATCTTCAACCATGGGATAACCAGCTTTTTACTTAAACACACTGATTTAGTGATTTACCAAAACCACAAGGGACAAATTTATCTTAAAATAGTTTTCTTGCATTTTATCTAATATACAATTAGAAAAAAGGGGAACAAAACATAATGGGAAACTGGAGTAAAATTTTTGAGAATCTGAGAACATAACATATATGCAACTTGAGTAAAATTTTTCACTAAAACTACAAGAAAGCAAACGAAAATCAGGCGGGAGATTTTTGAAGGCGTTGAGCTGTGAGAGAAATAAGAGACTGAAGCTTAGCAACCACTGCAGGCTTAGTGGGTGGGCAGTTTGAAAGAGCCAAGTTCAAGGACTGAAAAGCCTCCTCAAGATCACCTGCAGCCAAATACGCGAGTCCTTCTTTATAAGCTTCATCTGCTCTTCGGACATCATATACAGAAGAGGAATTAGGGTTTTCATCATCAATTCTCTTCTTATCCTTCGAATAAGGAACTGAAGAATTCAAAAGCTTCGTAGCCTTGGCATACTCTAGAGAAGAAATACCCGAATTGATTGCTGCCATTAGAGATTCGGGCTTTGAAGGTATCATCTTCACATTATCAAAGACACTCCAATGAGGAATTCGATCACCAGAACCCATCTTCGTTGTTTTTCCTAGATTGTTCATGGAAAGTTATTTAATGCTTGCTTCACAATTCACTAATTCATGAAGGACATTTATTAAATTAAATTAGGTTGGTATAACATAACGTCTTTACAGTTCGAAATATAGAAAGAATCCGAGTTTTAGAGATAAGTTTGTGATCATAAACATCTTTGTTTGGGCTAAAATTAGTCTCATATATAACATCATCTGTGTTTTGATGCTTAATTTAGTAACCATAATATGTATTCCTTATGCTAAATCAGTCATGTTCAATGTACCCATTCGCAACATCTAAAAGCACGTACAGATGGATGTAGGATCGGCAATTGAGTTTGAATTATGTAATGTGGCGATCATAAGCGATTCAAAACGATTTATAACAACATTCATAACGAAAATCTTCAATTCAGGGTATGGAAAAGCGCATGAACTCTTGTTCGATTGCATAAACTAAGAATTCATATCGTCTCCCTCCAAATTGTATCACAAACAACATGTAACCCAATACAGAGTTCTCGAAAGCAACTTACTAGGAAATCAGACGTCAATTTTGGCAAAATCAAGCTCTACCATAGCACCAACAACAGTTACGCGTTCGGTGGTTAAAACTAAAATCTGCAAATCGAAGAAAATTAAGCGAATTGTAGCTCATAAGATCGGTATAGCATGAGTATGTGGTGCCGATGGAGCTTGAAGATACTAGAAAAATGGAGGAATGAAGCGAATCGAAGGGTGGCGGAGGCGGCGTGGCGAAGGGAAAGAACCGTGTGTTCTGAACCACCCACTAAAAGTAAAAGGCAAAAGCTGTTGGGTTTTGTGTGAAGTTGCTTGAAGTTCCTGCTGCGACAATAACCGAATCAACTTAAATACTTGCTCTCGATAAACGATAATTATTAAAATAATAATCAAAAAGCAAGAAGATAAGTCAAGGAATTTAAAAAACCCTTTTAGAAAACTAAAAAAATATCTAAAATAACCTTTAATCTAATAATCTCAAATAATCACATTTATTCAAAAAATATCCCATATTTGACATATATTTTAAATACCTTTTTTTTTTCTTTCAATTATCAATAATAGTAAGAGGGTGTTTAGGATTACTTTTCAAAATGACTTTTTGGACTTTTAGTTTTTCCAAGAAGTTAAAAGTTTGAAAATGTGTTTGGTAATTCTAAAAGTCCTTTTAGAATAACTTTTTGACAAGAAGAAAAATGAGTGATTTTAAAAGCTAGAAATTGTGACTTTTTGTGACTTTTGGCTTTTTATTTGCTCTCTCAAAAGATAATCCAAACACATTTTAAAACCTTCTTTTGCAAAAAACTATAAGACAAAAAGTCATTTTGTTGAAAATGACTTTTTAGACTAAAAAACAATCTCAAACACCCCCTAAATCTCAACCACGAATTAACGAGGTGTACATTTTATCTATCAAACTTAACTCCACGAGTGTAAATTGGGTTGTGACAAAACACCATTGTTTTTCCAACAGCCTCAATTGCACATAGGGGTGTAAGTGAGACAGGCCAACTCGTGAGAAACTCGAGACCGATTCGGAAAATACTCGAAATCAACTCGACCTTAATCGAGCCGAGCTCGATTACTAAAATACTCAGCCTGTAAGGCTCGCGAGCTTAGTCGAGCTTAGTGTAATTTAAATATATGTCATTTCTTTATAATTGTTTATTTATAGCATATATGTCATTTCTTTATAATTATTCAATTATGACATATATGGTTGATGTTATATTGATATTATGTGATTAATAGTGGTTTTTTTGGTAGTTTGGACATTTGCATGTGGAATGTTAAATATTTCTTACTCAATTTAGTGATTTTGATTTTTTTAAAAACATTAATCGAGCCGAGCTCGAGACTGTCGAGTATTTCATGAGCCCGAGCTCGAGCTTAAAATCAAGGCTCGAGTCGAGTTCGAGCCGAGTTTCGAGCTCGAGTATTTTAGTCGAGCCGAGCTTCGAGCTTGGTAGTATTCGGCTCGACTCGGCTCGTTTACACTCCTAATTGCACACTCGCGAATAATGTCCCCAAAAGCCATAAATTCCCGCAAGTGGTTGTCAATAGAAATATGCAAGTTTGTTCATTAGATTTTATATAAACATGAATTCATCTGAAGATAATGTATGCCATTGTGAACAGAAAATTTGTTATTGTTCTTCTGATCTAGAGCGTGTTCGGCACAGAGCGTTTGAGAGCTTCTAGCTTCTAGCGTTTGACAAAACGCTATGTTTTAAACAGAAAGCCTCGTTCGACACTACAAGCTTCTAACGTTTAGTTTAAACAAAACGCTCCAAATCCAAATGCTACTTCATGTAGCGTTTAACAAAAGCTACAAGCTACCAACTCCCAGCTAATTTTGCCGAACACGCCCTAAACTCATTTCCTAATGAGAATAATCAGCTAAAGATTGAACAAGAATCCGAAACAGAATCCAACAGCTACTTTGTCTGGATAAGGAGAAAAGTTCATTTTCTTGACTTTCTCTTTTAAGTAGTTAAAATTCTCATATATATATATATATA